AGAAGAAACACAGAAAGGGCAAACGGCAACGGCAAAAACCAAAAAGTCTAAGAAATCTAAGGTAACAACCTTTCATAAAAAGTTCGAAAGCCACATCAATTTTAGCCTTTTTTTCAGAAAAGTTCGAAAAAGGCTGGGAAGGAAGCCAAAAAGGTAAGTGTGAACTAGCAGCTTGTACGCTCCCACAGCTAAGAGTGTAAAAGAATTAGACTATCAAATAACATGGCCATAGTTGTGAATTGTGTAGTTCCGACGCGTGCGTTTCCGTCGCGCCAGAGAAAACCGCCGCGACGCGACCGCAGTGCAGGCGAACAACAAACAAATACTAAGAAACGCAAAAATTGAGCTGTTCCAGAAAAAATTTCCAATCCTCGTGTTTCAGAGCAAAAGCGGGGATGCAGAAGATTTGAAGAAGAAGACTCCAAAGGTCGGTTCCTTAATTGAAAGTTGATTTTGGTGAGATGCTGCTCTTGGACCGTCATAAACCTTACAAACGAATTTTTTCTAGAAAAAGAGTGAACCAAAAACTCCTGTGGATAAAGGAAATCAAGAGCAGGCAGTTCAGGTAACCCGTATGCAGTAATCGAATGTTCGAGTTGTGCAGGTAGTCGGTATCCAAAATGGCGTAACGCCTTTTGCTGAGGTCTTCTGGAATCTTCCTCATTACAGTACTCATCATCGCCATCTGTCTAGACTCCCTTCCACAACCAACAATTTGTAGTTCCGACGTGTGCGTTTTCGTCGTGCAGGAGAGAACTGCCGCGACACGACCGCAAAGCAGACAAACAACCAAGAAATCTAAGGAAACGCCAAAATTGAGCTGTTCCGGGAAAATTTCCCAAATGTTTCCATTTTAGAGCAAAGGCGGGGATACAGAAGATCTAAAAAAGACTCCAGAGGTCGACTCATTTTTTCCACGGATTTCCTTTGTTGAAAACTGTTTTTGCCAGAAGGCTACCCGTAAAATTTCAAAACCGCAACATTTTTGGAATTTTTTCTTCCAGAAAAGTGAACCGGGAACTCCTGTGGCCAAAGGAAGTCAAGAACAGGTAAACCAGGTAATCACGTATACAGTAATCAACTGTTCGAGCTGCAAGTAGCCGGTATCAGGAATCGCGGAGTGCCCATTGTGGAGATCTCCTGGAATCTTCCTCGTTACAGTGCTCATCATTGTCATCTGTCCATGCTCCCTTCTAAACGCACAATTTCGCCAGGCAAACGGGGCGAGCGACCCACCATATCGTAGTCCATCCAACCCCGCTTACTTACCGTGCACAGCATTTCTCATATTTGAGTTACATCGCACCCTGACCTAATGACGCACATCCAACTCGAAGTCTTCTCAACAAAGCAAAAAAAAACTTCATTCTGATCTTTGGGTTTTTGTCACTTTCGCACATTAGTTCACCTTTGGCATACAACGAGCCGATCGTTTGTGTGGTACACATCCTGTTGTCGTGCAATGAATGACTGTTATGCGGCGAGATAACTAACTAAGCCATGGAGAGTGGCGAGATCACTAGCTAACCATAAGAATAGCCGCTCGCTGTGATCGAATTCACTGTGATATAACAGCTGTGTTGATCCACTGATTGAATTCAGTAAAAGTTGCCAGATACCACACTCGCACCACCCTCCAATGCAACCTGGTCTGCCCATCAGCGCTTACCCAGGCAAAGAACTTTTTACTTCTGTGATTGGAGGTACGCCTGTAATCAACGGCGATATCCTCTCGAAAACGTTATGCAAATACGAAAAAANAAAAAAGCCTAAATTTCCCAGTGTTTTATACAGAACCTTTCCGAGCGCAGGGAGATTGCCAAGTTGCAGCATTTGTAATCTTTAATGCTTCCCACTTAGGCAAGAAAGGGTCATTAGATTTTACTGGCACCCTGGGAAAACTTGACGGATGCCATGGTACCCTTGGGTACCCATAGGATCCGATATGATGATGCAGGCAAAGCAAAAGTGGGAGTAACTTCTCTAAATCATGCAGCTTGCACCTTGTGAAGACATTTTTCGAAGCTCAGAGTTCCCCATAAGTGAATGTTGGCATTACTCTCCGGGAAGCAGTGACTGCTAATCCCTTAGATCAACTGATTTATTTAGGAAAAGGAACCATCGGCAGGACCTGGTCATGAAAGTGAGGTATGATTGAAGCGAGAAGTTCCATATTTGGGAGTAAATGATGTCGGAAGGTTCAAAGTAACATTTCAGGAGCGCGGCTCAGCAGAACTTGCAAAGCCTCCACCAGAGGGCGGTAAGAAAGAGGTAAATCTCAACGATAAGATAAAAGGGAAGAGGATAAAGTCTTCAAGTTAGCCTGAGGAATGCGCCCTCGCATTTGACTCCCTTTCGGGATTGTAGTGGGCGTATAGAATGCTATACCTCCTTCACCCTCGTAGGGACAAAGGATTTCACTCAAACTGACATACTCGAAGGTAACCGCCAATGAGAACCAGTTAGTTCGTATCTGTAATTGTATGACAGTTTGTAAAGGCAACTGGCCCCTTTATTTGTTCTGGTACCGATCACCAGGGCAACATATAGCTCTACTCCCCTTTGCTTTCTTTCTCTCGTTTTCGAATGACGATGTTCAACGAAGCGGAGGGGGCCAGCACAAGTGCATCACTGCCACCAGCGGTTCCATTCAATTGGAAACTAGGTATTAACATCTTGCAAAATTTGGAATCGTTCAGTTCCGAACCTGTACCTAAGTGCTGCCCAAAAACCAGCAAAATCTGTTGTGATGAGTAATTCCAATAATTTTCGTCTGAGTTTATTTCCTTCATTTTCAGGATGATCAGGCCCACGAAATCTAAGAGGCCCGGACTGTTCGATGTCAGCATGTTGCCAACAGAACGTGGAATTCCACATTTTTTCAATCACATTATGTACATTCGTTTATAATTAAAGTTTTTGTCTGATTTTGTTTCTTCCGCAGTTTACACTTTGAACACCAGGCATTCAAACCCTCTTTGAGTAACAGCCCAGTCATATGTACACGTCTGTCATTTGAAAATTCGGAATAAGAGAATCTATTCGCTAAAAATTATGCCCGGAGTAGAAACGACAACTGATACATCTATTGAAAAATTGGGTGGGACGCTAGGTGAATGAGGTGCCTATGGTAAATATTGATCAACACTCAAAAGAAGAGCCATGCATTTGACATCAAAGAGACTTCGAAAAAAGTATTGGATCTACATATCAAATTGCGGTTGTCAGAAAATACTACTATAGCCGCTCAGGTCTTTTCACAAGGTTTTGGGAACGGTCAACGATATCCTAAACCGGTGAATGGCTGAGATTGTTAGATCCGAACCCGATCTTTGACTCGGCACATCTCATACCACAAGGTAACTGAAAGGCGTCTCAAAGAAATGCAACCATTCATCGATCTAGCCTTTTCAGGATTGCTAATTGTACGACCTCGACAAGCCAACGCAGCCAATGCGCCATGCAGCCTGCATCCGTCCGAATCGCAAACATACTTGTGAGCCCATCAGGCCCGTTTAATGATTAGTAATCAAGAACCCATTGTTTCTGCTTCTGAAATCTTATTCCAACGCATCATATTGGGTTCCTGCCTTCGGTTTATCGGGGGAAATCGAAAAGAATTTAGAATTAAAATAAAACTTTGCGTCAAATAATGCGTTCCACCTGTCCCACAAACGTCCAGTGCAGTCAATCGAAGTTACTTCGCAAACATAGCGCGCTAAATGCAACATAAAAACATGCACGACGGCTTTTTGTCGAGTCGCAAAGCGGTGACCTGTCGTCGCGTGCGACCGCCCGCTGCCGCGCGCGCGACGTCTCCATAGTGCGTCGCCTCGTTGTTGCCCTATCAGCTGATACCGTCCGTGGATGGGTGCGTGTTTTCGGGAGAGTTTTGCTGCTCTTTTGGACAAAACTCTTTGTTCAACTTGTTTTTAGCTATTTCTTGGTAATAGTAGGGGGTCGTTCTGAGTCAGCTGACTCTGCTTACNGCCGCGCGCGCGACGTCTCCATAGTGCGTCGCCTCGTTGTTGCCCTATCAGCTGATACCGTCCGTGGATGGGTGCGTGTTTTCGGGAGTTTGTTTTTTGCTGCTCTTTTGGGCAAAACTCTTTGTTCAACTTGTTTTTAGCTATTTCTTGGTAATAGTAGGGGGTCGTTCTGAGTCAGCTGACTCTGCTTACTTTTTACGACGTTGTTAGAACATCTGGTTCCTGTTAGATGTCTCGGCCGGCTATTGACTCCATGAAGCACTCAGTTTACATTTTCTTCGGTTGGATAAGTGACTTGTGTGGTTTCTAGTTATGATATGAAGATTCTGTAAAAGTAATGTTGAACACCACGTCGGACACTCCGGAAAATTCGACAGTCTACGCTGGCAAGATGTCGAAACGAAAACGCGCCAAGTTAGTTTTTAAATTTCTCTTTCCTATAGATTATTTGCTCAGATCTGAGGCTTATTTTGAGGCGAAAACGGGGCCAGCAATGGGCATTTTATGTGGAATCATTTAAACGGACAGTGGATTGCCTGTATGAGATTTGCCGTTCCGATCACAATATAAATGGTTGTAAAGTGAGTCGTCCTTTTCATTTTTCTTCTGTTTTCCTTCTGTCCGAATGGTAAAAGATCGTTAGATAGCTAGATTGTTACAAAAGTTTTATTTGGCTGTCAAAAATGCTCTTCAACGAACGTATCAAGTGCGACAGCGACTGTACAATTACTTTGACACTTGTCTTCTCTCCATTGTAAACATTAACTGGGACATGTACATAACTGTTCGACAGGCAGAAACAGATACTACAGAAGCATTCATAACATAAACTTCATTAGAGTGAATGATGGCGAATGCCCCTCGACGAGTTGTGCCGTCTGAACTACCGATTCACTTATGCTTCTCACCTTTGTTTCTTTAAGACATTGACATTAAATGATTTTCCCAATTTCGGAAAGTCTTGTAGGCTGATGTGGTAGATGGTCAGGAAAATTGAAGAACGAGGTCGTGGGTGCACTTTGTGAAGATTTAATGCGACATGAACGCTGGGCCGACTCAGTGTTTTCTGTTCACCGAAAAATGTAAATGGATGGCGACCGACAATCGTAAACTCGAAAACCTAATAGACAGGCGTGAAAAATGGCCATCTATTATAACACTCAGAGTCGTGTTAACTGGGAAGAAGCTAAGAATGCTTGGAAACATGACATCCATCCTAAAAAAGCGATAGATTAATTGAAGGATTAGGGGCTGCCGATGTCTACATGTGAAACTAGAAAAGTGAAAGTTTATTGAGGAATAGCACAGGCACTTAGTCTATGTGTACAACTAACTGACCTCCTTAAAATTGAAGTGGCGAGAAATTCGCTAACGTCAATAACTCAAAGTATATCATTGCTTGTTGATTTAATCGTGGAAACAGTGCCTTCCGCTTTTGTCTGAAATTTTTCTAGTCCAGTTAACATTGTCCCAGTATTATATCATTTTTCAGGAGGCAATCATTTACTTAGAGAATTCTAAACGAGACTTTGAGTCATTGATCAATACAATCAACGTGGAAACATCGTGGGATGAGTCAAGCAAGTGAGTAGTCTAACATAAATAGTTAATGTTCTGACATGAA